TTGAAAACTTTTTTTATTTTTTAACATAGGCATTCATAGTTATAAATTCCCCCTAAGCACTAGTTTTGGTATGTTGTGTCTGTGTTTTTCATTCATCTCAAAGTATTTTCTAATTTTCTTTTGATTCCTCTAATTAGTTTTTATGAATTCTGTTGTTTACTTTCTTTACATTTGTAAATTTCCCTAGGCTCCTTCTGTCATTATCTTCTAATTTATTAATAATCTCATTTGGGTCATAAAACATATAATATATATTTTCAAACCATTACAATTTATTTAGGCTTGTTTTATAACCTAGCATGACGTCTGTCAAGGAAAATGTTGTGTTGCTATTGTATGGAGTGTTCTTAATGGCTCTTAGAATTTTTTCTTCTTTTGTCTTATCTAAGTCTTCTATTTGCTTATCTTTTGCCTAGTTGTTACATTTCTGAAGGTGGAACTTTGAAGTCTCCATTATTGTTGAATCGTATATTTCTCCCTTTAATCCTATCAGTTTCGCTTCATCTGTTTGTGTGTGTATATATGTGTGTGTATGTTTATGTTTATGCCACTTGTATTTCTATTATTAGCTGCATATATGTTTATACTTGTTATGTCTCTATGGTGAATTGGCCCTTTTAATATTAAAAAATGATCCTCTTTATTGTTAGTAATATTCACTTTTGTTTGAAGTTTATGTTCTCTGATCCTGATAAAGCCATTCCAGCTCTGTTATGTTTGTTTTCTTAATTCTTTGACATATATATTTTACCTTTAATCTATTTGTATGTTTGAATCCAAATGTGTCTCTTGTAGAACACATATAGTAGGATGTTGTTTTCTATATGATGATCTGTGCCTTTTGTTTTGGTTGTTTATTTCATTCATATTTAATGTTGTTATTGATATGATTGGGTTTACATTAGTGGTTTTATTTTTTATGTGTATGTTTTATGTCTTTTTCCTCTCTGTTGCTTTTTTGACTTTTTAAATATTAAGTGGATTCTTCCATTGTAAAGTCTTAATTCTTTTAGTTATTTTCAATTATATTTTTAAATTATTTTTAATGGTTACTCTTGGGTATACAATATACATTTTAAATAATCAAAATCTGCTTCAGTCATCTAGTGGCTTAGTTATAATCAAATAGGGGAGCTTTGTTCCTATAATAGCTTAGTTGTTCTCTCCATTTTTTTGTTCTATGACTGATGCGCATTTTGTTCTATGAGTAATTGGTCATAGAACTGATATATATATATACACACAGACACATAAACATACACACACACCTATATATGATTAAAGTACAATATATTGTTATAATTGTTACTTGTCAGAATCTTATGTCTTTTGAAGAAGCTTAGAGAAGAAAGTAGAAAAGTGTATTTATAGGGTTTTTAAAATATTTTCTTATTTAACCTGTTTTCTTCCTTTCTATATGTGCATATGCTTCAACATCATATGTCATTTTCTTACTTCAAACTTCAATACAGCTTTATTCCTGGCTCTTTTGTGCTGCTGTTATTAAATATATTAGATTTCTATATGCTATGATCCCAATAATATAGTTATTTACATATTGTTTTACCCAATTGTCTTTTGAATAATTAAAAAAAAAGAATAACTATGCAATTATACTATCTTTATACTATTATATTATATATATTATATTTACCTTTACTGGAGCTCTTGATATTTTCATGTGAATTTTAATTACTGGCTAACATGACTTATTTTCAGCTTGAAGAATTTCCTTTAGCATTTATTGTAAATTGTGTCTACTATCATTGTGTTCTCTCCGTTTTTTTATCTGGTAAAGTCTTATTTCACCTAAATCTTTAGATAGTTTTCTCTGGACATAAGATTCTTGGTGGACAGTGTTTTACATTTAACAATATGAATATATCATCCCATTGCATTCTGATTTTCATTGTTCCTTTTGAGATGTTAGTGTTATTGAGGTTTCCTTATATGTGGTGGATTATTTACTGCTGCTTTCAAGATTTTCTCTTTGTTTTCCAATATTTCTACTACAATGTGTCTACTTATGAATTTCTTTGCATTTTTGCTACTTAGAATTTGTTAAGCTTCAACTTATTGAATATATTTTGTCCAGTTCCTGAATGACCTAATTACAACTTATTGTCTTACTATGGATATTTGGCTTATTTATATTATAGGCTCAATTTCTGAAGCTATCTTTTGGTTTTAATCATACAGTGTAGGTGTGAATTGAGTTTGAATCATAGTTAAGAGGAAGCAGATTCACATGATAGAAGGATAATTGAGCCTTTCCTTTCCCCAATGATATGTGATTTAAATATTATTTTGATAAGCACTTAACTTCTAATTCCGGTCAACAGAATGTTGACTGTTAAGCAATGATTGTGGAGCATTTCAAATATATGCTCTCATAGCACAATTTATACCTACTGTGCTCTGGTATATACTACTTATAGTTGGTTGAATAATGGCCACCCAAATATACTAAGTCCTAATTCCTGGATCTTATAAATGTTACCTTGTTTGGAATAAGGATCTTTGTAGATATAATTAAGTTAAGCATCTTGAGAAGATTACCTTAGATTATCTGACTAAGCCCTAAATGCCATAATATGGATCCTTATAAAAGAGCAGCACACAGAGGAGAGAAAGAGAAGGCAATGTGACGCAGCCTCAAGTCATGAAATGCTAGCACCCACCAGGAGCTGGGAGAGACAGAGTGGATGTACTTTTAGAGCTTCCAAAAGGAGTGCAGCTTTGCTGACATCTTGATTTTGGACTTCTAGCCTCCAGGACTATGGGAGAATAAATTTCCCTTTTTTTAAGTCACTCATTTTGTGGCACTTTGTTACACAAGCCATAAGAAATTCATGTGATTGCTTCTCAGCCTTTTGGCTAAGATCGAGCATAGAAATTCAAATGCCACCCTCACAATCATTCGTTTAATATCTATTTTCTGTACTACAGTATAAGCTCCATAAAGAGATTGATTATCATCTTGTATACTTTGATAACTCCAGCAACTAGCAGAGGGTTTAGCAATATTTGGGCCATGTCAAATGCTTGTTTATAAAATGAATAAATAGACTGTGGCTCATACATCACTCTAGAGTTTAGCTGGGTGAATGATGAGTGAACAAGTGAATGAATCAGGGAATAAATATGTATTTATTCACATAAGCCAATAAATACAGACTAACTGTACACAATTACTATATTTCTGATTATTCAGTGAAGGAACTGAGAGGAGACACTACAAATTTTATGGCTGGGTAGAAAGAAGACAAAGTTGTATGAGTGTTTTACTGGTGGATATAATTAGAATTTGGGTTTCCAGTATAGGAAAGGAGGATATTCTCAGAGGATATAAGGGATAGGCCAGGAGGAAGCATCTAAAACTGTGCTTTGCCAGGCACTGTCCTCTAAGCTGCAACATTTTTCCAGGCTGGTCACTGCTTTGCTGCGGGTGGCTGTATTCTCACTATATATTGGTCTTGCACACAAAGCAATGACACGTTATTCATGGAATCCAGTATAGAAGAGATGAGTTGAGACATTAAAGGAGAGATGTTAGAAAGGGCCAAAGCCTAAAGAGGAACAACATGCATCATAGATAATTTGCAAGGGAGCACTTCAAATTGAATAAAGGTGAGATGCCTGGCTGCTTAGCCTAACATGTGATTTCCTATATATAATTATTTCAATATGTTACTATAGCCACCACTATGTACAAGGCCTACTGTGAATCAGAAAAACAAATAAAAGCCAAACAGGAAGCACCAGGTGACTTGCTTTTGGTTTTGCAGTGAGCTGGGGTTGATGTTCAAAACGACTCCTGCCATTTCAGTCCGAAATAATTTTGCTCAGATTAATCAGTCTCTCGTGCTGAATAATATGACACAGCATTAATGGCTGTGTCGTATTACTTCAGATATGTCTCAGAGCCCAAATAAAAACATTGTGTGTGTGTGTGTGTGTGTGTGTGTGTATGTGTGTTTTCAAGCAGGAATCCCTTTCATGTTGCAGCCAGGTAAAGTTAACTTTATTGTCTCATTCCAAACTTATTTCCTATTCTTATCTATCATCCATGAAAACTCTTTATTATACTTCCCACCACCATTGTCTTCTCCCCTGATTCAGCTCCCACCTATGTCAAATTATATTTCTTCCAAGAAGCTACTTAAGTGGGAGGTGATATCTTCATTTTCTGAACGCCCATCGTACTTTGCATATTTTTTATCATTATCATTAAAATGACCCACCATTTACTGAGTGTTTACTGTATGCCAAACCTTGGATTACATCTTTTACATACATTATTTTATTTAATTTTTACAATAATTCTGTGAATGGGGCTCTATTATTGCTATTTTGAGTTAAGAAAACTGAAACTTAGAGAAGTTAAAGTGATTTGCACAAAGTATGGAGCTTTTGAGTAGAAGATCCCCATTTCACACATAATTTCACACATCATTTCTAGAGCTCACGTTTTTAACCGTTAAAACATATTTTCCCTCAGTCCAGTGCTGATAGTGTAAGAGATGCATTTTCTTTCCTAGGTTATGTGGTGTTTGAGCATAAAGATTCCATATTATTATTTTTTTATTTCTCTAATTACAACTTCTAAAGACCCAGAAACTCAACAAATATTGGTTGCACGAGTGAACAAATATCTGGAATAAAATTATTACAAGAATACCATGGCTTAAAATTTGTTTTAAAATAAATTCATACTGATGGCTAAAAATAAACCATTACAAAAACTTAAAAGATGGAATTGACAGGTAAGTATGATTTACTCAATATTATCTATGCCAAATGTCTTATGTTCATGTTCCTTAAAGTTCTGTATGTAAGTAATACATACAATGGTGAGATATTCATTTATGAACTTCTGAAGTTTTCTATATAGATAATTTGGTTCAGGTTATCAAAACATTTTGCTTTCATCAACTTTATGTGTTAAATAGAAATTACTTTATTAATCTTGTTGTTTTTTCTTTTTGTTTTGTTTCCAGGATGGCGTAGGGGTAGATGAGAAGCTGTCTTTACGGCGGGTAGCTGTAGTCGAAGATTTCTTTGATATTATCTATTCGATGCATGTGGAAACAGGGCCAAATGGAGAACAAATTCGGAAACATGCTGGACAAAAGAGAACTTACAAAGCAGTAAGTTAAAAAAAAAAAAAAAGGAAAAAGAAAAAAGCATGCATTTTGAAATTTGGTGTTATGTATGCTTGTTAAAATGGGTTAATTATAAATATTCTATCTCCAACATAAATTAGACCATATGATCATACCAACATTGAAACTATAATTATTAAAGACTCTAGGTTGGTTATCTGTTCACTAGTCTATTGAATATAATTGAAACCTGCCTCCAGAATTCTCATATTGTTTTCTTTAAATATATATAAAATGTGGTAGTCCCAGTCAAATGCCCACAGTGGGAAGATATATTTGTATTATATATTCAATATGTCATAATATATGAATTATGGACTGGAAGATAAGAACTTTTGTACTACCACTACTGTCTTAACTTTTCTTCCCCTTCAAATCTTATCAATATGTTTAGATATTTCCTGGTTTATATGTATATTAATATGGATAAGAAAATTTTATGTACTTTTTAAATGTCACCTTATATTAAATACATTTGTCCTGAAGGACATATATTTCTTAATTTCCCAGAATAGACTATTAAAATATATGTGTTATTTTCATAGATCTAATGCCCTTGAACATTTTAAAATGGAAATGTACAATGTTTTTATTGTAAATTATGTGAAAAGAAGATTTAATTAACTGTTAGATATTGAAATATATATTATCAAAATGGAGTTATGTATTATTTTTAAAGTTTTTAATTATACATACAGTTTGATCTAAACACTTTAATCTAGCTTTTTATTTAATTGAAATTGTTATAAAATCATATTACTGAAGATATTTCATTCTGTCTAGGAAAATGGAATAGTAAATTATTATTTTCCAATATGAGCAAGGTGTACATCAGAAGTACTTTATCAGCAATCATAATAATATCCTTTTCTATATTTCTTATTGAACTTTGCTTTTGGCTACCTTTATATTAACTGTTTTCAGCTATATTGATACACAATATCAGTCTGGATCCATTTTTTTTTCAGATACAGAAAAATGTGTGAAATGCTCAAAGTTTCAAATACAGGTACATATGTTTGAAAATTAGCTACTGAGCATAAGAAATAGCTTCTTTTCCATAACTATTTTTTGCTATATTGCCAGGGTCATATTGAATCTTTGTAGTGGCATAATAACCCCTAATACATGTTGTATTTATCCCTCCTCCTCTATGGTTTTGTTTCTTGGCTGTTTCCAAATTGCATGGTTTGTGGGCAGGCACTATTGTAAGTTTCCTTACATTATTCTGCCACATAAACTTTCTTTTGACTTACACATCCCAGGAGACATTCTTCTCATGGCTAATGATAACGACCTAGCTTCTTGAGATATTTTTATATAGACTAACATTACTGAACATGCTCATTTCGCCTGTCTCCTAAGCCAGGGTTGTTCTGCTGGAAAGTAATAGGAAAAAAAATGTATATTGATTTACTAATATCACTAACTGTGTACTTCTATGGTAATGCATTTTCACGAAATAGCTAATTGAACTTGATAGGATTTTATAAGGCGGGAATGCGTAAGTTCAATTGTATTATTAAATAAATGAACAAAAACAAAAAATAAAAAAAAAGAACAAGCAAAAAACAAATGGTTTCACTATCAGTAGTAGTATGATAGCCAAATCTGTTTAGGTGCCAAAAGCAATTTAAAATAATTTAATCTTTGATATGCATTTATTAGAGACCTTTAATTGAAGTACAAATATGAGTCAATGATATAGACTCAAATCTCTTGCCCCATGTTTTCTTAAATAAAATGTAGATAATCTGATTGATTACTGGTATGCAGGCTCCCTGCTTACAAAAAAATTGGTAAACATGTTTCTAAAATATATAATTTTGTATTAACATTATGAAGACGTTTTCTGCATTTTGAGGTAGGGATACTATCTTCGATAGTATAAGCAAAATATGAAACATCATCTAATCCCTCTTCAGAATGTCCTATTTGAATATCCTTCTCCTTTCCCAAGTTTTTAATTTCCACATATAAAGTGTTATCACCTTTTCCTAATATCATGAAGGTTCTTTTTGGCCTAACCTTTTTTCTTCTGGTATCTCTCAATTGATTCTTAATTAGGAAACATTTCCATTTTATGGAGTAATAATTCATTGTAGGAAAAAAAAAAGTCATGAAAGAACTACTGCAATGCCGGCAAAACCGTGCATATTATTCTACAATGAACTTAAGTCTAATGTTAAAAATTAATATAAGTGTTCAATTAATGGGGCATAAAACTAAAATGCAATTTGAAATGGAATGGTTTTAGTGCTATTAGGACCATTGACTGTTGGGTCAGAATTTAGTTCTCAATACTAATGCTGAAATGGCTAGTCATTGGGAGGATTAGCTAGATGTCTATTGCAATTATAATGGTTCCCATTAAGTTTTCTTTCTACTGCTAAAACATTAGTTCATATAGCATGCATGATTATGTTTATTGACCTTCTTTTTCTCTTTTTTCCTATATGGCCAAGAAACCATACTTATACAACTAATCATTAAAGCGTATCATATTGTCTTAACAATATTATCAATAGATTTAGTGGTCATTTTATTTACTTTGCCTTTTTGCAAATCTTCTTTCTTTGTTTTCTTTCACTCTGCAGGAAATGGTGGTCCTTTAATATTGGATTAACTTCTGAATGCTATTTGGTTTTACCTATCTGCAGTATATCATTCCTTGAAATATCTAGGCATTATACAACTTATATTTTATTCCAATCTGGTCTGACTATAGATAAAATTAGAGGGTATATGGTTTATTACTCATGAGCTCTTGAAAATCCACACAAAATGACACATTTTAGGAATATGTAAAGGCTATCATAATTGGGTTTTTTTTCAGTCATTATTGCATTGTAATGTCTTTTAGGTATTTTTTTCTCTGCATTTTTATGTGTTTATATGTAACTGTTACTGGTGCATTGAATGTATTTCCTTCAGTATATTTTATTTGACTATATTCAACTCTGGGTTATCTACATGAATCAAATGGAGAAGACATGTGGACCATGTAAATATCACTTATGTTTGAACTGAAATATAACTATGTACCAAAAATTGAATGCAGGTGTGTTTAGCAAATTGGGAAGCTACTTCAAAATTAATGTTGTAACATTATAAAAATAATTTGGAATGTTGTCTTGTCTTCCAGTTTTTAACTCTTCTCAGCTTGTGCTGAAACTTCACAGCATCACTGTTTTCTGGTTGTCCTTTATCATGTATATTTATCACATGCTAAGCACAGTTCAAAAATATTTCCTAAGTCAGGGTCTAATTAAAGGATTAAGTTCCACAGCTCTTTCTTACTACTTGTGAAATAAGAGTAACTGGTAGAAATCCAGGAGCTAAGGGGGAAAGTCAATGTTATTAATAGAACAGTCTTACATATATCTGTGTATACACACATACACACACACACACAACTTGTAGTGTGATATCATAAACTTGCATGTATTACTCATATATATAGCTGCCAATAATTATACTCATTTAATTCAGAGTGCAGAACATATGTTATAACTAAAAGAGAATAGGCTAGAAGCCAGACAAACATTTTCAAATTTTAAATCTAGCAATCATTTTCTATCTGTGCCACTTTTAGCAAAGTATTTACTCTTTCTCTTTAGATGGGGATGATGATATCAATGGTGTGATAAAATGAATGAATTAATATGTGTAAAGTGTTTGACATATGGTAAACTTGTGATTGATATTATTTTTCCTTCTTTATCCAATTACTACTCATGTTCCACATAGAAGGACATGCAGGACAAGTAGCAGAGCTCTATCATTTGCCCTAATTACAGTTATGGATCTAATTTCCTCTGCCTGCTCTGATGCCTCTGTGTTGGAAGAATAAGAAGGAATGGTAATAACTTTTCATGCATCCTTTTTTGTGTGCATCCTGTAATTGTCACCATGCCATTCACAGTGTGACTTTTACCCAAGGTTTGGACTGAAGGAAAACATGAGGAAAGACCACAGTTCCTGTGGGTAGGAGCCCTCTTGCCAAATGAAATTCATGAAAATTTCAATTATTTTATTTGTTTTTCCTAAATCTTTAAATTAGTTTTAAATTAATTTTCTGAAAATTTTAAAAAAACTGGCTTTCTTTAGTTTTTTCCCTAACATAAATGGAATATTCCTTTCCAGAGACATGCTATAGAAAAATAACATATTCATGTAGAATTTCTGCAGTATTACTCTGAAAATTAACAAGGAAAATCTTTATTCTATTATATCCAGGACATTTAACCTTAAAACTTTAGTGTCATTTTTGCCTTATTATTTTCATAAATACCTATTGGTTCAGCGTCTCTAACTGCTAAATAGAATATTTTAACTTCCGCCAGTTTTTGCTAGTTTATTATGTAAAAATTCCAGAATTCTTGTCAACTTATAATGAGACTAATGAGCCAAATTTGCAGCCATTATGGTGTGAAAAAGCAGCACTAAACTAAAATTCAAGAGCTCTGAACAATTCATTTAACCTCTTTTTGGCTTAGGCCAGAGTTTATGCACATATAAAATAAGGGGACTATATTTTCAATTTGCTTCAAACTCTGAAGAAATTATAGCAACGATAATGGTGTGCATGAGGCCATTACTGTGCCTGGGGACAAAATGAAAATAGTAACCAAAGTGAGCAAACCGGTTGGCACAAAAAATGTTCAAATATAGGGAATGTGTCCTGCTCTCATAAAAGCAGATTGGCTGATAAGCATAGCACAGAAACAGAAGATTTTTGCTCCATTATTATCTAGTGAGTTCTCCTAAAACTATAATGATGATGATAGTTATAACAATAATAACAAAGGATCTGTAGCCGTTGGACATCATGTTGCTATGATTTGAAAATAACAATCAAAGAAGGAGAGCCTTAAAAATGGTTATCAAATGTCAGCAGATTTTCACTTGTCTCCATTTGTTCTAACAATTTTCCAGTAATCTGAGCTGAATTGTGAGTGGGCAACTCCTTAAATTACAATACA